AGTCCAAAGGATGACCATGCACCACTGATGGGATAAATGGAGTTAGGCGTCGAAAACAACAACAACAACGACAACAACACCAACCCTTTTGTATCCCACAAGAGTAGGGCATGGGGAGGGTGTGTGTAGTGTGTACGCAGACCTTACCCCTACTCAAAACTCAAAAGTTGAGAGGCTGTTTCCAAGAGATCTCCGGCTCAGCGTCGAAACTAACTGTTGTTTTATCAATAAAAGAAGCACAGATAGTTTAGAGATCCATTTTGCTTTATTTCATCACATCTCAAATCCAAAAATAGTGGATTTTGGCTCTATATGAGATTTTAGGCCCCAAATAGTAGACATAATTTCTTGATAGAGGTGGAGGATTTGGAGCGCCACATGTGAGAATGGAGTCCAAATAATGCACTTAGGAGAGGAGAAAATGTAATATCAATGGGAGTTGTCAAGGCGCTGATACGGAGACCCCAAAATGATAAAATCAAAATGTTCCAATGTTGCTTTGAAAAGATTAAGAGCTTGTTCTTTAGAGCTTAAACTCTTAGGAGGGTGTATTCAGTCTAGATTCTGTAGGATTGTTTTGGATTTTGGAAGTTAGTGGGTATTCAATTAAGATTTTAAAGTCATTTAAAAGCTGATGGTATTCAAATTAGATTTTAAAATGTCTATCACAATCTAATGGTATGAAACACTCGATAGATTTAGAAAGATTTTTAATGGATGTAGATTTTGATGGATTTGAAGTTGTTTTTTCTAAAGGTGACTTTACAAACAAATCCTTTGTCACATTCAAAGATTTTAAAGTCCTTTGCTCCAAGCCTTTCACCTCTTCCGATACAAGCTTCTATGCATTGCTTGGGAGAGCTGTTGTAAATTGTACTCAATAGATTTGTAGCATGGCATAGAAAAACCGCTCATTTTGTTGATTTGATTCGCGACATCAAGGAAGGACGGTGGTGGCCGCAAGCCGTCCAATCTGATTCACTGGAATCTCGCCCATCCATGTACGTTCAACGGAACGTAGTCCGATTGCCACCACGTCGTTCATCGGAGTCATTGCTGCTGTGGCTACGATGCTGGCACCAACCTAGGACGGGAATTAAGGACGACGGTGGCACCGACCTAGGGGGGGATTTCCCTCCCTCTTCAACACCTCTGGTTGGGAATTTAGGAGGATAGTGGCGCCGGCCTAGGGTTTCGACTTCCCAGTGGCGACGTCTCAGAACTGTCACAGGGACGGGGACGCCGACGGATAGATCTATAAAAATGAAGGGGGAGAAAGGAGGGGTAAGAAGAAGATAGATAGATAGATCGGACGGAGGAGAAATTAAAGGCGGAGAAGAAGGAAGGAGGAGGGGAGGACGAGGATGAAGGAAAAGAACAAAAATAAAAACGAAGAAGAATGATGAGACAAAAGACGGAGGAAAAAATGCGCAGATGAAGAAAAAGAGAAGAAGGTAAGAAGAAGAAAGGGGAGAAGAAGAATAAGAAAGAAGAAAAAAAGGAGGAGAAGAAACAGAGGAGATCTGGGTGGAGAAATCGATAAAGAAACGATAAAGAAAGAAAGAAGGAAGAAAGAAAGAAAAAGAAAAAAAGTAATTCATGGATAATAAATAATAAGACAGGATTCTATAAAATCCTGATGAAAACTACATTAAAATTTATCTAATTCTGTGTAGACTTAAAACAATCCATTGATTTTACATAATCAATATATTCTAAACAAGCTATCAAAATCTTTTAAAATCCGAATTGAATACACTCCCCTTGACTTCTTGTTTCTTCTAGTTCTTCTTGTTCTTTCCAGTTTCTTTCAATTTTTTCCAACCATTCTCATTTTCTTCAAACTCTTTTTACTCCCCAAAAATTTACTCTAAAAATGATGTATTTTTAATATTTTTATTATTATTAATATTATCTTCATTACTATTATTATTAAAACTATTATGTTCATAACTATAGTTTATTAATTATTTCATTTTTTCATATTATTCATGTCACTATTTTTACGATTTACGCTCTTCAAAATTGATACGAGGAAACATTTTTCAAATATTTATAAATATTTTTGAAAGTTAAATATTTTAGAGAAAATGACTAAACTAGGAGTAAACATAAAAAATGTACAAAATACGAGTTCTATGTTTTTATTCCCAAAATAAGAGTTACAATACAAATACAATGTCAATCATGAAAGAAAAAAATAGATTTGATCATATTATGTGACATGCTTGATATTTAAAATAAAATCATGTAATATATAAAGTGTAATTACAAATATATTATTTTGTAATAAATACTGTTTAAATAAATTGAGGTGCAACATAACCACACTAACTTTTTAAAATTTAAAATTTAATATTTATGCTAACTTTATATTCTAATGAAAAAAATGTTTGCGAAAGTAGATTTTTTTGTGTATGAAAAATGATAATATTTTTTTATTATCTTAAAGTCATTAATTAAAATAACGTGATTATGAGTATAATAATAATATTAATATTAATAATAATGAATTATAACAACAACAATTAGAATGGGAATATTATAAAAAACAAAATTAAATAAATTTTTTAAAGTTTTTTTAGATTTTCCCATTTTTCTAGTTTTTCTAGTTTCATCTAATTTCTTTGAGTTCCTTCCAGTTTCTTCCAGTTTTTTTCAGTTCCTTCCAGTTCTTCCAATTTTTCCCCGTTGTTCCTTCCAATTTCTCCCAACATCCAGATCTTTTTTTCCAATCCTAAAGAACAGACCCCTTGGTGTCAAAATCCCCATGGGTACAGCGATGAGAGTCCGGGTCCTGAGCAGAACATGTATGCCAAGCGTGCCCTCCTGCAAAGGTGGACCCCCAAGGGAAGTTCCCCGGGGATCCCGAGCAGAACATGTAACTTGTGCCACTTTTTGCCAGTGGCCAGCTTTTATCAAGAAAGCGCATGCATGAAGCAGGTACCAGGAACCACAGACGCTGGTACAAACGTATACCAAATAACCGTAGGTACTGATGGACACCCTTTAATTTGCAGGTACATTCGTGTGTCATTTGACTGTAAACACGGTTGTTAAAGCACTCAAATGAAATCAATGAATGCATGTGGGAATGATCTTTACCGGAATGGTCTTTACCGGAATGATCACAACTTAGCATGTTAGAGTACCGCATAATCGCTGGTTTCCGCGGAGATATACTAGATGACCGCAGTTACTGATTGGGCACCACTTAACTGTGGGTACATGCATGCACTTATTAACCGCAAACATGGTCGTTAAGGCACCCAAATGGATGCCGGTGGGAAGGAAGAACCATATTATCTCCATATCTCAGGGCTCTCCTTAGCCAAACAAGAAAGAAGGAAAACAAAGGGTCTTTGTTGTAACTGTGATGAAACTTGGTATCATGAACATAGTTGCTAAGAGCTTATGTGTCTCTTTTGCTAACATGGAAGAAGATTTCACACTGGAACATGAAGATGAAAGCATACTATATGCATCTCAAGGTGCGTACCTTACCAGCATTGGACTGATCCAAAATAATGTTTGCTGGATGATAATTCAATACTCAGCAGTTTAGTAATTGACTAGGCCATCTGTTCCTGTTAATGTATTTACTTTGACTACTTCTGTTTGTTCCTTTTATTGTCCATTTATGAAATCTTTTGCAGATGAATTATTCTTCTCCCAATTTTCCCTTCTAGTACTATTTAACTTACCTTCTCCCAAGGGAAACATCAATCAGAGACTGTTATTTAAAGAGGGCATTTTAAGCAATATACTTGCCCTTCTATTTTTCATCACAATCACAATGGCCGCAACAAATCCATCGCACACCTCTTTTGTTAGAATCATGTTGGATAAACTCATTGGTAGTTCCAACATTTATTTTAGGCAACCACAATTGAGATGTGGTTCAAATGTCATGGGATATGCAACCATCTCACCAAAATGGTTAATGGCATTACTTAAAAGAAACTTTACTTGAACAATTTAAATCACTTCTCCGCAAATATTTGTGATAAACGACCACTTCAAAGATGCACGATATTTTCACAACTTACAACATTTGTTACCCACCTGTTCCTTTTTAAGTGTTGTTTTCGGTCTTCTCACACACATTATAACATCAGAAATGTTTTCCTGAAATCATGATTACTAACAAGACAATTATTAGAGAGGAAAACATTTCTCTCAAGTGTAATTAAGAGAGAAAGGATTTAGTTATAACTAATAAGTTAGAGAGGAAGCAAGTCTTTTTTTCTTAATAGGAAGTTTTTCCATTCTATTTTCTTTGGAATACATGCTTTCCATTGGATGAGACTTTCTATAGAAAGAGGATAAGAAGAAGTGAGATTATCAAAGAGACTATGCTTTTATTAGTGCAATGATGTTTTGATTGATTCTTTGCGTGCTTGTTTGAGAGCCAAGCTCATCTTCGGCAAGCCCACATATATGGTACCCATCAATTCAAGCCTACGAGTTCTTGACTCTACTAGGCGACAAAGACATTAGATGGAGTGCTCTTCTGTTTAGGCTCATAACACACTTTTAAAGGAAAAATGGACTTTCTACTGTATCACATATTTCTGTAATTTACAACCCCCCCTCGAGAGAAATATGTGATACAGTCAATAGATCCATTTTCCCCATTTTATATGCACGTTTAAAAAGAAATGGATCTATTGACTGATCATGAATATCAGGATAGGATTGTTTCTCATATCCCCATCTTGGCATCCATGGAATAATTTGGCAAAGTATTGTTTTGATCTATTTTGAGATTCTTCATTTTTTATAGCTCTCAATGGGATAAAAATTCATTGCTTGTGTGTTATGTGACACATGATGGCCACATGGCGACTTCTGGTTAGGGACTCTGTATATGATGGATTGACTTTTTAATTTTTATTTTTTGTCAATAAGTCAGAAAATCGTGTATTGGGTTTTAAAATACAATGATTTTTTTGCTTACTATAATATAATTTTCACACTCTTGCTGCTAATGGCTGCAGTGTACTGCTACAAGGGCTGCATCTATATTCAATGATGCTGTTCTGCGAGATCGTATTCCATTTTCAGACCTTGACAAAATGAGGAATTTCTGCAATTCTGCTCTTGATTTGCTTGCACAGGTATGCATTCAACTATTTTTACTTCCGTTTTTGTCTATTGAAACTAAGAAAAGTGTATTATTTTGATTTGGGAACTAATTCAAATGTAAGAAATTGCGTTCTTTTGATTTGGAAACTGATGCAAATGTTTTATCCAAATACTTCTTGGTCTTATTAATTTACAGGCTGATCAGCATTGATCACCATTTTAATAGCTTTGCATGGTCAATATTTTTTTCCCTCCACAGTTCAGTACTTGTTTTGGAACTCGATTTTTCAGTACTTGTTTTGGCACTTAATGCATTAGGTATATTTATATTGATCCTCAAAGAATATAATTAACATTCAAAGCTTAATATCCTCAGATTTGGCAAAACACGGAGTTTCCTGGCTCACTTTCCATTCCTTTAACCAGGTAAATGTTGATGAGTAGTATATTCTTTTAATGAGTTATTTAATGCAATAATGCATTGAACAGAAAACACTTCTAAATATACTCTTGGAATGCACTTATGATTTTGCTCTATTTTTTGAACTAGGAAGCAATTATTTGTAAGTCTTGATACTGTATTGTCTTGCATTTTCTATATGATAAAAAAAGTCACACCATAATGAACGCATAGAATGACAATGACCACAATCCAAAAGATACAAAAGTAGCTATGCTTGTGTTGATACATTAAATATTTGAATGCAATGGTTATTTATTCTTTTCTTGCATACTCTTGGGGTAAGATGGATCAATTGAGAGAAAAGTTGACGTGTGACATTGGAATGGTGAAATGCTTTTAGGGTCGTTCAATTGCACTTCGTTCAATACCATCTTGTGCAGTATTATTATAATAATCATTATTTTACTATTTATTTTATAATGCTTAATATTTCTTAGTGATATTATAACGATTATAGTTACTGTATTAATATTTGATATTGATATTACTACTCCCTCTGACCCACTATATTTGGAACATGAGGGAGTGGCACAAAATTAAGAAAAGTAAGATTATGTGGTTGATGTTGATGTAAAAAAAGATGAAATAATAATGAATTTAAACCCCACAAACATAACCGTGGGATAGACAAAAAGGTAAAAAATTAGAAAAAGAGTGATACACAGGGGGTACTATTTTGTTGTTGTTGTTGTTGTTGTTGTTGCTGTTGTTATTATTATTGCTACTCTATCCATCTCAAAAAAAATTCCCACTTGCCACTTTAGAATGTCCCAAAATCATTTTCTCATTTTTTTGGCACACACTTCAGACTACTCCCTAACTATCTTCCCGTGTTGACTTGGCACGTTTATTTAGGCTTATTAAAAATTGCATTGACTTCCCAACTTTACCCTCCTACTCTATTCATAATTTTGTATCTTTTTTCCATCTCCGCTATATCGCTAGTTGGCTGCTTCAATTCAAAGAGGACCAGAAGCTGACCCGCTGCAACTCCAATTCGAACAGATGAAACAAAAATCTATTCTTTGGTGTAAATGTGTGATATTGCAATTACAATTAAAGTTACTGCTGGACATTTAAAAGGAAGTGAAACATAGCCTTTTTGAAACGATGATTCTCGAAAAGTTGTTTCCGGCGGCCTTCTCTGCTACACCCAGACCTCCGCCAATTGTTGGAATCGCACGGCTGACGGCCTTCATTGCTATCACTTGCACCTTTGACGGTCTTCAACACCACCTCTCCCAGATTTGCTAGATCCACCTCTGACATCCCACGCCCAGAGCTTTGCATCAGCACCTCCATCTGCACCTTGGGGCCATGGATGGCGAATAGAGAGAAGAAGAAGGGTTAACCGATGGTAGTAGAAAAGAAAGAGGAAGAAGTTAGTTGAGGTTGGGTTGGGCGGCGGCTAAGGAGAAAAAGAATAGGAGTTTGATATATAGGGTGGAGATGGATGAGAAATTATTGAATGGGCAATTTAAGACATTTACTCTAAAATAGTTTGCCAAATAAGGAAATGGTAAGAAATTTTTTTCGGACATCCTAAAAAGGAAAGTATGAAGATAGTTTTCGGACGCAGGGAGTACTTTTTAATAAAAACACATGTTTACCCTCAGCGACCTACAACCTACATATTTACTACTCCTTTTGTCCTTTGTTTGTCACATTACACAGCTTACAATATTTGGCCTTAGTTATATTTCTTCAATTTTATTTAAATATTGGTTTAAAGTTAATAATTACGAAGTATACATTATATTCAAAAACAAAAAGAAAGATCTATATAATAAGAGGTAGCATGACTCCTATTTGAACAAATGATCAATGAAAATGTTTAGGAAAACAAAATGTTGTTTCACCCTATGAATAGTGGAAGTTACATAAGATAGTGGGATGGTGGGAGTACTGATAACCCATTTTTACTAAACCCAAAGAGTACGCAGGGACATTTAAATAATTTTCCTCGCTTTTAATCTTAGTGTCATTTTCACATGGGAAGATGATTTTGAGACGGAGGGAGTTCTATATATGAACCTATACTTATGTTATCTGTACACAATGTAAGCTCCATAGCTTGAGCTACACAAAGGCAACTTATATGTATGGGTCATAAAAAGGAAACCTTTTTTATGGTATTGCTTAAAGAGGCCTATGTTTATGCATTGATTATACTCCATCCATCCCTAAAAGAACTACACTCTTCACTATTTAGAAGCCACATAAACTTTTGTTTATTTATGCGTTTTTATTGATTATTTGGTAAAATAAAATATTCTTGTCACCTCTTGTTTTGTAGAACTTTTGACGTATTTTTTAAATATGTAAGTTTTATTTTTAATTTCTAGACCAAACTTTAAATAAAATGAATAAAAAAACTTGAAATTTTGCTTCGTTTTGCGTTAAGTGTAAAACATTTTGGGATGGTGGGAGTATTAAACTATGAGATTTTTTGCACACTTTTTCATATTTGGTTTCCACAATAATATTTTTGTACTCTCTATTTGAATTGCAATTCATGATATATCAGTTCTTTGTATATGGATCACATTTATTGAGCCAATGATGTTGGACAAATTAATTTACTAACAACACATGTTTCTTATGGATATTATGAAAATATGTTAAAGCAAAGAGCTGGCGATCTTTAGAAATATTTAGGGCGTGTTTGGTGAGCAAATAAGATATGAGTTTTGATATCTCCAGATATCAGAATTCTTTTTGGGTGTTTGGTGAAGCTAAAAAAGATATCAAATTTGATATCTCCAGATATTTTAAATCCTTCAAATGGAGGGTTTCGATATCTCCCTGAGTTTGGGAGATATCAATATGGAGGTTTGATACTTCTCTCAACCATTGATCATTTTTCGTCACCGGCTACCATTGTCACCCCCAACCAGCTCTGTTGCAGGTCACCCTCGCTTATCACTAATTAAATCATAATTTTAAATCTCTCCAAACAAATTCATTTCAGATTTCAAAACCCATATCATTTCTCTCTGATTTCATAACCCATGATGCCCCATCGATCTGATTAACCTGAAGTTAAAACAAGTTTTTTCTGGAAAGCAGTAAAACAGTCCAATTATAGGATTTATATATCAGTGTGATCCAATAGTTTTTTTCGACAATTCGACCATGATTTTTTTTTCATTTTGCAGGAACAACTTGCACCTTCTAAGGCAACAATGTTACCATATTACATGGAAAGGTTACGGGACGAGATATATGATGTTAATAACTCATGATGTTTGTTATTTAATTGATAGAACGTTTCATTTTCGGAAGATCCAGTTACGTTTTCCTTGCAAAGATATTTTTGAGGTAAAAAACTCATACTCTGATTGCTGATAACAGGGTTTAGGACTTCCTGTTCTATATATAGTGAAGTAGTTGTTAGTCAATGCAACTTTTGGCACTGTTCTATGTTTTAAACATAGGGTACGTACATAGGGAGCCTTTGAGGCACTAACCACTAAGGTAATGTTGTTTTTGTATATTTATTGAAGTTTGACATGCATCTTATGCCTTGTAGGGTAAATCTGAAGTCACTCATCATTACACATTACTAGATGGTGAAATTGTATGTGACGATGAACAAGAAACACAGAAAAACATAAGATACCTCATCTATGATATCATAGCAATAAATGAAGTATCGGTTGCCAAGGTATATCACTTCCAATATATTTCTCTTAGATGAATGGAAGAATTGGTCTAGAAGCATGCTTGCAAATATGCATTGGTAGTACTTGTCTTTTGCCAAGAGGTTATTCCATTTCTAATCCCATGAAAACACTTTGCTGCATTTGCCTGACTTTTAACGGCATTTAGGCCCATTGGCACTTTGCTGTGTTTAGACCATGTCTTTAATGTGATCACATTTAGGCCTATAACTTTTTGTTGGTGATTTGGTGTTACTACAATTTATCCTCTCTTTACATTTCCAAATATTTTGGCATAATCAAATAGATATATTCTAACTTGAAGCTTGTTTGAACATCTGGAAGTGCGATAGAAGATTTTCCCATCACAATTAGGCTATAGCCATGTTTGCTAACCAGCTTTTTATGCTTCTCCTAGCTGTATGTTTGGGTTGATGCTTGTGACATTGCTTAGTGACATTCAGTAAGGATAACATCCACCCAATATGGTGACACCGCATTGATGATTGATGTGTAGAATAAAGCTAAAATTTGGACTTTCTACAAGGGGCTTGATTTGTATTCCCTCCATTTCAAAATCACCTTCCTACTTGCCACTTTAGGATGTCCCAAAATCATCTGCTCATTTCCTTTTTTTGTGCATATTTTTAAACCTATTTTTAATTAAAATACTGTACAATCTTACCCTCAACAACCTTACATATTTATTTGCCTTATATACCACTTTTACTGAACCCAATAAAATAGTTACATGGCGGGAGTATTAGTATAGTGCCATTTTCAGGAAAAATGATTTTGAAATGGATGGAGTATTATTATAGTTTTGAAGTTGACCATGTAATTTCCTCCGTAGTGTCTCTCATAGTTATGAAAGGCAAGTGCCTTACCAACCCGATGTGGAGAGGCAAAGGGTGGATGTGTCAATTATCCCGATCTGGCTGGGTGAGTTCCACATCGTACAATGCCTTGAGCATTTTTTTAGCTTCTTCTCCTGGCAAGAAGCGTGTGGCTTTAGCTGTCCAAGGCAGGAGTTGGGTTGGGACTTGAGCTTGATTAATTATCCTAGTAGCCCTTCTTCTCCGATTATGCAAAATTGTATTTATCCATCAATGGAAGCAAATTGGATCTTGGCTCTTCTTCAGCGAGAACATTATGCCCAAGTAAAATAAATAATTCTCAAAATGTCAAAATCCAAGAACCTAGAAGAAAATCTTTGTTTTGTAGTACTTTTTTCCTGACATCTGCATTTGCCAATTTAGAGCAACTCCAATCGTCATCACGAACTAGATTTGCAAAGCATACTTTGCAATGTGAGGAAAGTTTTGGCATATTGTTAACTTCTGGTCTAACGGTATTGGTGGATCAGTGTGATCCGGGTCTAGAGAGAGGATTTCTAGAGAGAGAGAGAGAGAGAATTGAAAGTGAATTTGAATGTAAATGTGAGCGTGTCCCTTCCTCACATGCCGGGGGGGGAATATTTATAGACGAGTAAGACTTCTCTTTGGCATGCAGGCCCATAAATTTAAAACGGAGTATAACTAAACCAAATAACGGACCCTGCACAACATGCTGAACCGGGACCGAAGCAATCCAAACCATAACTTCCGTAGTCTATGTCCCAAATGGACATGAACTGAGGCCGACCACCTTTTGTCACAGGGGGCTGGCCACATGTTAGCCCACGGTGACGCTCCTGGAAATACCATCGCTCCCATTCCAGGCGATTTGAAGGTAGTCACCTTGAGAGATGTGGGTATTTCTTAATAGATAGGGAATTCTAATTGAATTTTATCTTTCAAGAATAACAATGGTTTCATTTTTTAAGCCGGGTCTCTACTCTCTAGAAAAATACTTCGTATATGTAATGGATTAGGTGTGAAAGTTTTTGAAATTAAAATGTGCACCAAAGCGAGATGGCATTGTTTCACATTGATGTGTAAGCTGAAGTGCTAGTTTTTTTAGAAAGTCGGCGTGAAAGAATAAAACATCAAGACTTCAAATGTCATTGCCTATTAAAATCATTTTGAATAGCATAATAAAAATGCTTCATAGCATTTCAAATTTCACAGCCAATCATAGCATAATAAGAATGCATCATTTACTAGTAACAATATCATTGTCGTCGAATAGACTTAATTGAGTAAATAAAATGAAGGATAACTCCTAATTTAATAAGCAGTCTTTTATGTTATTAAGAATTTTAAATTACACCCTATGCATCATCTTGAATCTTTCCTTTGTTAGTGTTGTGGAAGTGTCGAGTAGTAGAGGATTAAGCATTTTATGCTTCACTTTTATCTCTTGGAAAAAATATTGATTATTAAGCACTTTGGCAGCTACCACTCCATAGAAGGTTGGCGCTTATTGAGGAAGAGGTGATCAAACCCAGAAACTATGAACACGATTTATTGTGCAAGGGAGATAATGTGTACTACCAATATGACCAGGAGCCATTTGAAGTACATATAATTGAATATAATAATTTATCTGCTACAATATTATAGTGTTTTTTTTTGTAAGGATGACACTCCTTTCCGCTTCAGGTAAGGATGAAAGAGTTTTATCACATTTCTGCTGCTCCTAAGCTTGTCAAAGAGTTCTTGCCATTACATTCATATGCAACTGATGGTCTTCTTTTTAAAGTAATTGATGATTATTATTGTCTTGCAGTGTCCTGTTATCTCTGTTTAACTATTTCCAGCATTTTTGCATTATATTGACTCATGCTTTTTAATCACAGGCCTGGAATGGTGCTTATAAACCTTGGGCACATGAAGGACTTTTAAAATGGAAATCTCCAAGAAGATATACAGTGGATTTTCTCTTTGATGTAATCCTAACTCTCATCAGTCTTCCTCTTGTAGTTTTTGAGAACCGCATCTGTTTCCTGCCAACTGGGAACTAATTGTGTATTCTTTTAACAGGTGGGTGTCAATAATGATCATTTAATCTATCTGCAAAACTTTGGAAGGAGGAAGCTAATGGATGGATGCCGAGTGGAATTTGGAGGTCAGAGGCGCCCTTGACAAATGCACGACACACACTTCCCCCAAATGAGGGGGAAAAGATATCATCATTCTTCAAAAGTGTACCGTTAATCAGTTTTGGGCTGTGTGGAAATCACTCGGTCATTTAGATCTCCTCAAACTGAGGGCTTTAGTACCACGGGTGATTGATTTCCCAATCGGCTAAGTTATGTTATTACTTTGCAGATGCATCAGATTTCTCATCATATTCTGGTAAGATCTTAGAGTGCTCCTGGGATCACATGAGAGGAATTTGGATTTTTGTTCGAGCGAGGACAGAAAGGACAACTCCAGACAGTGTCAACACCTATGAGAAGGTCTGTATTTTCTGAGGGTAACGTTCATTCTCTTTCATTGATTGTTACAGATTCCCTTGGTTTTTCACCAGGTAAAACAACGAAGGAACGATGAGATCACGTCAGATATGCTGTTGGATGAGATAAGGGATATTTTAAACCTACCCATATATTCTGATAGCCCAAACGACGAATTGGGGTTAACAGTATAACTGCATCCCTACAAGCTTATTTGTGTGCCTCTCCACTTGCTGTTGAATGAGATATGTGTGGTTTTAGGCCTTCCAACAAGCTTATTTCTGGGATGCCTCTAAGATACATACTTCGTCCCAATTCCATAGAAGTTTCAAAGCGCATTACAGATCTTTACACCCCCAGTCTGCCTTGGATAGACACCAATATATGCTGAACAGGTTTTTTGTTCATTCCTAACATGTATATGACTTGCTCCCCTGAAGTATTTAGTCGAGCTGTCTGCCACGGCCGGAGAGGCAACAGTGCTGACATGATTTTTTTTAAGAAACTGGAGATTCATTATGCTAACAATTGAGAATCACCGAACGTTTGGCTGCAAATATGTTGTGCCATTGTTCGACAAAGAAGACGACATCAACACTTGCTCTATGCTAACAATTGAGAATCACCAAACGTTTGGCTGCAAATGTGTTGTGCCATTGTTCGACAAAGAAGACGACATCAACACTTGCTGTCAAGTATGAGAAGCAGACATGGTAAATCCCATCTGAAACTAACGACAGATTTTCCGGTGCACCATTTGGCCCAGACCTATAGCTTGCAAAAGGATAGTTGAGGATGAGGGGACGAAACAGGGATTAGATGACGAAGATTCTTGATAGGTTTATTCATATTTGAATCTCTACTGAATCAATAGTGTACATGATGATATAGGGAAGGAATCCCAGGCTAATTAAAAGGTATATGGAATAGGAGAAATATGCATAAAGTTTATTGAGTGTTTCTAGAACCCATCTTTTTTTTTGTCTGCATTTTGTTTCTTTTCACAGAGCTTTGTAAATTACCTTCAAGACTTTCTTCCCAAGTTGATTTTTTTGACTAGGTTCTTTTATTACTACAGAAGTATAAATCGCCTTATACAAGCCCGAAGTTGAAGCAAGGTTGAGAAAGAAACTTTAAAATATAATAATTGTTTGATAAATATCATGTGCTGACAAGGTTTTTTAAATTCTTTACTCTCACTGTTTTTGTCTTTTTTTTAAAATACCTTTTTCTGTCTTATTATTTTTTGTTCTGTTCCACACCATCTTTTACTCTTTTGTATTTTGAATATAACATGTTTAATTATTCATTCGTGAATCAATGTTCATATTTACTTCTCCTTCGGCTCCAAATTAAATTGCCTTTTTAAATTTATAATACTTAATTCAAATTATTTAAGAATTATGGTGGATTAAAAAAATAAAAATTACGCAGTACATATTTGAAAAATATGTAAGAAGTTTTACGAAACAAGTTATCACATGACTATATTATTTTATTAAATGAGTAACAAAAATGAGTAAAAGAAGTGAATGAAGTTTGACCTTGTATGTAGTACAAGTAGGTACTTATTTACTTATTTTTTACAAGTAGTTTTAATTTATAAATTGCTTAAATGTTAATTAAAATTTGTGTAGATTAAATGACTTAGATGATTGGGGACAATCATAATAGGGGAGAAATACTTTTGTAAGTAATATGGTCAAAACGAAAAACAAAAAATCAGGTTAAAAATAAGTAAGATCTGCTTATTTTTTCTGACTTATAAGGTGCTTATAAGTCAACTTATAAGCACGGAAACACGTTATCTGCTTATTTATAAGTTGAAAATAACTTATATACAATTTTGACCAACTTATAAATACAGAAAAATACCCGCATAGTAAACTTGCAACTTAAATTTGGATGGAGTCAACGACATTGTGTGTCAAAATTACCATTTTCCTCCATTTAAAATTTATCTACCTAATGAAATTTCATCCGTCACCATTCAAACAATGTATAAGTTTTACTCCTAACTTTCTTTTTAACTAACTTTAGATACTGAAACAAGTCTAAAATAAAGTATTTTCTTTGTTCCACTATTTTTGTTATGGGTTATATTTTTTTGTTTTTTCTTCTTGTCGCATTTCATATTTTGGGTATGTTCTTATTACTCCTAACTTCTAGCTTTAATTATTCAAAGCCAAATTTTAATTTGTAACTACTATCCTAAGGAATATTTAGGGGTGTAAACGGATATTAATCAAATCGGATGTGTCATTACCAGATTCATATCCGTTTATTTTATCAGATATCGAATTCGGATACGGATCTTCACGGATAATAAAAATTAAAACCAGATCCGCACCCGTCGGATATCGCATATATCCGTATCTGTTTCCAATTTTTCAAGATAAAATTGAAAAATACTTTAATTTCCAATTACAGTCAAAATATTATTTATTCAATTGTACTCCATTCACTTCTTTAATTTATTCACTTCTTTAATTGTATCAGGATAGGGAAAGTTAAGCACTGGGGAGAGGAAGAGAAGGAAAGTAGAGATTGAGAAGGGAAGAGAAGAGAAGCCAATTCGGCGGAGGAGAAAGGAAGAAGATATTAGGGTTGAGAAGATAATTTCATTCTTCAATGATAATATATCTAAAGAGGGGTTACAACTCAATATATTGATGGAGATGGTAAACCCTAACCCTAGCAAAAATCTAATTCTTAATTCTATCGGTTCAATAAAAGCGTCAGGGTAAAAATTGAAAAGAAACTCTCGAATGAGTGTTATAGTTTCACTCAACAATAAAAAGTAAATATAAATACATAAAATTAATTATGCTATCTAATTAACTATTAAAATATCTAATTAACTAAATAGTATAAAATATTTAATTCTCTATCTGTATCAACTTGAATTGTTCCTTTCATCATATCTGATTTTATTAAATTCTAATCTGATTTAATTATAGCTATATCTTTTGAGTCAGATTCAAATGGTTACCAATTCAGCCGCTCATATTTTAGCTATAAGTGTTTGCGTTTCATTCTTTTTACTAGGTCTTCACTAATAAAAATGTACTTTCACTTAAAAAATAATAATACGTAATTATTAAAAATAAGTTGAAGAGAACATAGTGATACTAGGTATTCCATTGGTCCACCAATTAATTCTTGTTATACGCTCCAAAATAGAATTATCATCTTTATAGGAGAAAATCGTGTGATCAATATTTTTAGAAACAATTGTGTGATCAATGTTATTCTAAATTTTTCTTCATAAATTTAAAATATACTTCCTCCCTTAAAATAATTGGCTTGATTTTATGAAATTTAAGAAAATTATTTTCAAAAAATAAGAAACGAATAGAAATAATATTTTGGGAAGACATATAAATGTAGCAAGCCTCTTACTACTTTCTTTTTTACAAAAGAACAAAAAAAGTGAAAAGAGACGCATTCTAATTTTTATTTGGGGGAAGTTAGGAGTTAGGAGTACCAATTAAGGAAGAGTATCTTGGACTAAAACATACGGAGTACTTCAAATGTTAAAATAAGATTTTCAATAACATTCTACTTACTAAAATAAGATTTATTACATACACAAAATAATGTCAAAATATAATGTGAATTAGATTATGAAATACCCAACTCATAATGTCAACAGTAAGAATTTTATAACATGAACTCAACATTCATATTTTCTTGTTGAGAGCTTTGGGTAGTGTCTTTGTTCACCCCGAAACTTTATTACCACTACATGCATCTATTTAATTTTAGAGAATCTACAGCGACGTGGAGATGCATTCTCATACCGCCTTGCCACCTCAGCCTCTTTGAATGTTTGCCATGCTTGGAGATAGAATTTCTCCTCTCTCACCGTGTCATCTTGGAGCCTTCTTGTTCCTCTTTTTCTTTTTCTTTTTTTCTTTTTTTGGGAAGAGAGACTTTTTTATGATAAAATAGATAATGAAAATAATTTGAAATAATCAAAATATTTAAAGAAAATTAAAAAGTGAAAAAATATATTTTCATTTTATTGTTTTGTATAAAAAAGATGCTTTTTTAAAAAAAGTAGAAGTGTTTTTATGAAAAAAAGATAAGTTAAATAATTTTGAGTTGATAGAAATATTTTTCTATGATAAAAAAATAGGTTAAAAAACTTTAAATAATTCAAATATGGAAAAACATAAAAAAGAGTAATAAAAATAACGACTTGTCACTGTAGGGCATACGATTTTACTCCCTTGCCATTCGCTGACTGAGCTGTCTTTTATTGGTTAAAATATTTCACATCAGCGTATTTCATTCCATTTTGCCTCACCATTGCTCATGCTCTTAGTGTTTGCTATTAAAAACAACATCCCTATTTTCTTACTTTTATTTAGAAAAAATTTACATTATTACTTCTAAAATTGTAAAAATTTACATAAATACTCCCATATTCAACAAATTACACAAATGCTCGAAGAATTTTCATGCCTTTCCATAGGTGGCCCAACTTTCCGAACACATATATAAATGTCTCCCTCGTCCCAAGTTGTTTGCAACACTTCGAACACTGTGCAAAATATCATTTTTTAAAAATAATTTTATTTACAAATTAGTAGAAAAATAAAAAATAAATATTACATCACTCAGATATACATCAAAACCTCTACAAAATAAGATGCAACAGGAATACTTTTTTTTATGAAATAGTCAATCAAAATGAGTAACAAACAAAACTATTGAGAGACTGAAACAGTAACTGTGAGTGTGTAACATTCTTTTTTAGATGAATGGAGTATACAAATTCCGGAAACATGGAATTAAGACTTGTATATATTCTCGAAGTATTGGACATTTCTTGAATCTCATACTACCTCCGTTCGAAAGTATTTGTCCAGTTTGACTTTTTCGAGTCAAATTGGAAAAACGTTGAACTTCAATTACTCTCAATTTGTATTACATATTAGCATAATGAAATACTACAATAAAGTCATTTTTATATTAAAATACTTTATAGTTTTTATTTAATTGAAGCTCAAAGTTTGTCTTGTTTGACTTGAAAAAGTTAAACTGGACAAATACTTTGGGACGGAGGAAGTAATATTTATGTAAAATAAAATATTTTTGTGAGTAATAATGTGAATTTTTTCCAAAAAAATAAATAAATAAATTACGGAGTATATAGGGTCAACTTCACACAAAGGCACAGTAGAGTCATTACATTTGAACAGCTAANCCCCCCCCCCCCCCCACACACTTCCCTTCCCCTTTTTCCCCCTTTTCCCCCTCCGCGTTGAACCATTTACGCCTGCCTGGCCCTCGCAGGGAGCACCCACCCCACACTCCCTCACTCTCTCACTGTTCTTCGATTCTTTCTTCTACCCTTTTTCGTCACTCTCCACAGCGATCCAACCGGATAAAATCACAGCATCTCTGTCTATCAGAGGTTTCTTCTCTGTGAAGACTATCCCTGCTCCCAGACAGACATTCACCTGTTCGTTCTTATATTCTCGTTGAAATCGCTTTCTGCCCAACTGAACCCAGATTTATCCTCCATTGTCGGGTTTGTGTGGAGCTCTAAAGATTCCAGTTTGCGCCATTACACTTCTTCAATTGCGTTTCTTTGTGGTGGCGGTATGAATTTGTAGTGCTTGGTCGGTGTATGCACTGTTTAGGGCTTTTCGATAATGGAGCGGAAACAAGGGTTCTTCTCGAATTTGAAGAGGGAGGTGGCTAGGGGTTTCTCCCCTGTCCGGTCGAGGTCGAAGAGCCCGGCTCGAAGCGGGTCGCCGCTCTCTAGGCTGCTGTGGAGGAGGAAGAGCTACGGTAGCGGCAGTGATTTTGTTGGGAGTGGTGATGTCTGCAGATCGGGAAGTCTTAGGCCTTCCGGCGAGGCACTGACGCCGTTGATGGAGGGTCCTGATCTGGAGGGCGGAGAAATGGGGGAATCGAAAGGAGTCGGGTCGGGATTGAGCCAGTGGGTGAAGGGACAGCTCAGTCGAACTCCCTCCATGGCTGCCTTTGGTGGATTTGGCCGTAGGCCTGATCTCAGGCTCCTCCTTGGGGTAATGGGTGCCCCTCTCGCCCCGGTGCACGTTAGCTCTTCTGACCCTCTCCCTCATCTCAGCATCAAAGACACTCCCATTGTATGTTCCTCCTCCAATTCATACTTAAAGTTCTGGTATCTATATTCATTCCTTGACCTGTTGATTTATTGGAATGTTTTTTTTCTTTTCCCCAAATTTTGAGCTCTAGTTAGTATCGGTAAGATGATTAAGACTGATGAACTGATTTTCTTTGTGTGTGTGTGGGTGTGTTTGTGTGTGTGTGTGCAGGAAACATCATCTGCTCAATACATCTTGCAGCAGTACACTGCAGCGACAGGGGGGCAAAAGCTGCAACATTTGATAAAGAATGCATATGCCATGGGAAAGGTTAAGATGTTGGCTACCCAAGTAGAAACTCCAACAAAGGTGGTGAAGAATAGGAGTGGCGCCGAGTCTGGTGGGTTTGTCCTGTGGCAAATGAATCCGGACATGTGGTACGTGGAGCTTGCAGTCGGAGGAAGCAAGGTTCATGCAGGCTGTAACGGGAAGCTCGTATGGAGGCATACGCCGTGGATTGGGGCCCACACTGCAAAAGGTCCAGTTCGGCCACTGCGAAGAGCCCTTCAGGTGAGTACTTGACCCAAATTGTTTGTGCCTATCTATAAACTTGGTTTACCAATACTCAGGTTTAAGCCATGCCCTCTCTCTTCAGGGTCTGGATCCTAGGACAACTGCAAGTTTGTTTGCAAATGCGCGATGCGTAGGGGAGAAGAAAATCAAGGGGGAGGACTGCTTCATCCTGAAGCTCTGTGCCGATCCTCAAACACTGAAGGCCCGAAGTGAAGGACCTGCAGAGATCATAAGGCATGCCCTCTTTGGCTACTTCAGTCAGAAGACTGGGCTTCTCATTCACATGGAGGATTCACATCTTACCCGTTTCCAAACAAATGGTGGGGATGCAGTTTACTGGGAAACAACCATCAACTCTTTCTTGGGTGATTACCGTCCTGTTGAAGGAATCATGATCGCCCACTCTGGGCATTCTGTTGTGACAATTTTCCGTTTCGGGGAGTTGGCCATGAGTCACACCAAAACCAGGATGGAAGAAGCTTGGACAATCGAAGAGGTTGCTTTCAACGTTCCTGGCTTATCAGTTGACTGTTTCATTCCACCAGCTGATTTAAGGTTAGGAACTCTAAGTGAATCATATGAACTTGCACAGGACGAAAACGGGAAGTGCTCTTCGGCTGCTGCAGCCTACTGCACCAAGGTTGCAGCTCTGGAGACAACTCCCGGAGGAAATGTTGATAACCCTTTCTAAAAGTCAGAAACCTAAGCCTTGTTTGGGAACAACGTTTTCAATTAGCGTTTTCGGATAACTTTTTAACGATGCAGGTTAGCCTTATCAAAAACGCTGAAGCTGTTGCCAAACAGGCCCCCTAAACTACTTGGGTGAACTCTAGCCTTGTTTATTAGGAAAGGTGGGTTCAAATTGACTAACCCGGTAGGAGTTACGATTGCTAGAGTAGTTTATTGAGAATTTCTAGTATTCAGTCTTGAGCTTGGATGATTTTTCACACTCTGAATTGAGATTCCAACAAGGAGTTGGAGCTTATAGTTCCTAGACTAGAAACAGGCAGATAAACAGCAATGGACAGTGAAGGTTCATAATTTAGTTTGGCTTCCAAAAACCGAATAGGTGGCGAAGCATTCCCTTCATTCCAACCCATTGGTTATTCCCTTTTCATATGATAATTGTTTCTCTTCTTAGACAGTTTGCTCCGTGGCAGCCGGAGAAGTGTTGTTATTTGTTACTTCTACTTTGCTATCTGTATGCTTTTGTGTTGTTTTTCTAAATAGTATTTGAAGAACGAAAAGAGAGTTTTTGTTTGGTGATAGCTAATGGGGGTGAAGTCAAGCAGATGCTAGAGAAAATGTTTCTAGCCTGTGTGCCAAACATGGAAAAGTAGTCTTTGTTCAATTGTCTGGTTTTTCCCCTTTCTGTAACTGGGCAGTGCTCATACATATTCAAAGCTACTAGTTCATACATGTGCCTTTTATTTAAGATTTGGTTGCCTGTTTTTTCCTTTTTCAGTGTTTGGAATTGATTGTCCATTTTACATATTTCCTCCGTTTCAAAAAAAATGTCACAGTTTATTATTAAAAAAACATAGAATGTTTATTTATTTGTACATTTTTTTATTATTTCATAAAAAAAAATTCTTATTACCTCTTCTTTTAAAAAAAAATTTATGTTTGAAAAAATTCTGACGTGGTTTTGAAGTATGTAAATTTTATTATTTATTTCTATACAAATTTTTAAATAAAATGAATTGAAAAACACTTGAAATTTTGTTTTGCGTAGTGTGACAAACAAATGATTCCTAATTATAGATGGTTTTTCATATTTATTTTCTAATTTAAAGATATTATATAAATAGTCCTCAAATTTTGTAAATTATTCCATAAATAGTCTTTTAATTTTAAGTCTAATATGTCAAAACCCTTTTTCCACATATAGTCTTTTAGACCAAATATGTCTTTAAAAAAATGTCAAAGTTTATTATTAAAAAAGCATAGAATTTTTATTTATTTGTACGTTTTTAATTTATTATTCATAAAATAAAGTATTCTTGTCATATTTTGTTTTGAAAAATTTTTGACGTAATTCTGAAATATGTAAATTTTATTATTTATTTCTATACAAATTTTTTAAAAAAAATAAATTAATTTTTTTTGAATGAAGTATTACATTTACATTTAGACTATAACCTCTCTATACTAAAATTGATTACAATTTTTTTCTTACTTTTCAATAAGTTTTTTTATTCGGGTGTTTTCATTGATTATTTTATAAGACAAATATGTTTGTCAATCGCTTATTTTGTGTAAATTTTGATATATAATTTTCATTTTTAATTGATGCATCAATTTGTAAGTAATTAATTTCAAAAAATAAAAGATTTTGCCGCATTAGTTGTAACTTTCAACTGTAATCAAAATTGAGACTTAAAAAATCACCAAATAGAGATTACATAAGACCACTCACAATGACATGTCCAAAGACTCTAATGCCATGCCACATAGGATATTTTTGGGTATGCCACATGTGTGGAAGTGGCGTTCCTCCACGATATGTGAAGCAAGTGGTTTTACTCCATGATACTCCCTCCATCCTAAAACTTTCTTCCCAGAGCACTATTCCAACTTTACGGAAATTTATATTTATTTGTGTTTTTTCATGGCCTATATGATAAAATAAAATATTCTTGTCAGCACTTGTTTTGTTGAACTTTTGATGTAGTTTTTAAATATGTATGTTTTATTTTTTTATTTCTATACCAATATTGAAAATAGATTGAAAAAACTTGGGATTTTTCTTTGTTTTGCGCAACGGGAAGAAAGTTTTAGGACGGATGGAGTATATTCTTTTTTTAATATATTGATTTCAATTTTTTTGTGCAAGAAAGAAGCATTTTTTTTAAAAATTTTTTAGAACAAAAATAAGTAAAATGATTTTAAATAATTAAAATACGTCAAAAAAGTGTAGAAACTGACAGAAATAATGATTTGACACTCTATGACATGCTATTCTAGTTCTTTACCACACGTTGACGGGATAATTTTTAATTAATTAAAGTATTTTATATAACCGCGTGGTGTTCTATTTTTGTCTAACGAACATGCTCTAATTTTTAAAGCTTATAGGCATGTTTGAGAATAACATTAGTATTTTGATAAAATTTTAGATGTATAAATTAATTCGAAAACGCTAACGTTAAACATTGTCTGTAAATAATTTTTTCAAAACGCTAACGTTAATTTATAAAGCTATTCCGACCACAAATTTGACCAAAAAATCAATAATCTTGAAAATAGTTGAAAATAGTTAATCTATAAAGCTATTTCCATCTAAAAAATCAATAATACCTGGCAGTGTAATTTTTTTAGGGTCGTCTTCTTCACCCCAAAACCCTGACTGGCCAAAACCCTAAGCAAAATTCAGGCAGTGATTCCCTAATCCAGTTCAACAATGGCCTACGTTAGCCTCATACACAATTGTTCCATACTAAGGCGAACGGCAACTCCATTGATCGCCACGGCCTCATCGTATTCCACCACCGCCCCCGCCTCATCTCTTCAGCTGTACCGGCGCTTTCAATTAAGAAAATGCCACATTCTTCTCCGTCCCAGAAGGCCGACCCACAGCTCGAACAAGTTTTCGTTCTGTTCCTCTGCTAGCAGTAGGTCTTCTCCAGAACTTGTACTTGGGCTGCGCAGAAACGAGGCCACTTCTTCTTTCTCTATCCCGTATTATCATCAGCAGATTTTTGGGTTTAGCCGATATGCACACTCTGAGTGCCCGTCCGAGTCTGAGTCTGATCAGGAATTGGAGCCTGAGTCCAAGCAGTTGGCAAGTGCCTTACCTTTTAGTTACTACTACTTATTTTATTACTGGATTGAGTTCTGCTAATGCTCCCCCATCCGGACAATAGGCCGACTCTTTTTCATTATACATTTCCTGCTTGTTGCAACAATAATAAGAAAATCATATACGGCTGTTTTTTACCAGGCTACCCAAGAGAGCAACTGAGAATAAAACTTTTTTGGGGCATATACTGATTTTTGTAGAACGAGTAGACTTCTGGTATAATAAAGTGAAATTCGTAATGATATTTTTCAAATGAAATATGGTAGCAAGACCAGATTGAAGACCCGAGCCATTTTACCAAACATACCCATAAGATCCACTCTGAAGTAGGGTAAGGGGTCACCAAGCAACACAATTTTATGGAAACAAGTAGCAAAGAAATGCATGGCTCTCCATGATACCTTACCAGCATAAGCAATTTGCAATTTTAGATGCATTTACACATTTGGTTGAGTCATGCTGGTATAGTCTCACTGTTCATACAAATACGAGACCTAATATGTGCCAAATGTTATTCGAAATAAACATATTTTACAACTTAAATTGTGTAATATACACAACATATTTCCCTTACGAGTAAAACATGCTTTAATGTTTACAAAATTTTCCCTGACAAATTGTGTGCACCTTGTTGAATTTTATTAATGATAAAGTCCTTGTTTGGGAACAATGTTTCCAATGAGCATTAGCATTTTGGATATTTTTTTAATGATCTTTGGAAACGGTACAGCTAAATGCTATTGTTAGTTAGCCTTTTCAAAACGTTAAAAACAAATACCAAAGCCGTTGCGGGCCCAAAAACTCCCTAGTAATGAAAATATGGTATTTTAGATATTAGTTCTAATTGATGTTTTTTTATAACTTGTGACAGTCTGATTCAAGTCTTGATCGTATAGAAGAGTGGAAGTGGAAGTTAACTACACTGCTGCGTAATGAAAAAGAACAAGAAGTGATCTCAAGAGAGAGAAGGGATCGTCGTGATTATGAGCCTCTATCAGCACTTGCAACCAAAATGGGCTTGTATAGGTAAATCAATCTTCTTTTGCAAGCAAGTTTTATCTCAGCAAATTCAAGTAGCTTTAAATGTTTCTTTGTTTCTTTCCTAAAATTATATAACATGAATAATTCAATTAATGCAGTCACCAATATGAAAAAGTAGTCGTCATCAGTAAAGTTCCTTTACCACATTATCGATCTGATCTGGATGCTAAACGCCCGCAAAGGGAGGTAATCCCTTTCTAATCTGAGTGTGTTATGTTGTTTTATTTTGCTTATTTTCGCTTTTGCTTGGAGTATATTTTGACCATGTGTTTGTTGATCTAATCTACATTTAAGTTGATCTTCTTAGGTGGTCTTACTCCAAGGATTGCAAGACCGTGTAAATGCTCTTTTAGAATCTTACTGTTCTAGAAAGTCTATCCTTAACCAAAGCTCAGAGTCCAACTACTTTTCAAGATCGGATGATGGCCATAAATTTTCAAATGATGATAAACTTAGTGAGAGTAAGAAGCCACCTTCACGATATATTGTTCCTGAGAAAATCCTTCGTCGTCGGAGTTTGGACATGCAACACAAACAACAAAATTGGCAGGTGCATTCTTCGATATGAAAATACTCTCTTTCATTCAAAGTAATACTTAGCAATATATGCCTTAGATGTGCACATTTACATGCTACACAACTATGGTCGGTTAATGGTTTGAAATGTTTCAAGATTTACTATACTAGATTCTAACCCGTGCGATGCACGGTGAAAAATCATATGAAGATAAACATAATGAAATATATAAATAACCCATGTGTAGAGATAATATGGTTGTGCATTAGTGGCATTGAATGCATTTGTCATTATTATTTTTATAATATTATTATATATGTTTTTTTCCGCTACATGTGATGATGATCGTGCATGATGGTGCATTAGTGGTTTGCAGCAGTTATTATGTTATTATTTGTGTTAATTGCTTTTTGCAGTTACCATTATACTTAATTATTGTAAACATTACTGTTATCATAATTGTATTACTATATTATTATTATTATTATTATTATTATTACTTGAGGCAATTATTATTAGTGAAATTTGCACTAAATAGGACTAAAACATAATTACTTTCCCAATGTATGACTTAAACTTTTTTATTCCCTAAATAGGACTTAATATTGACCTAGTGGGAGGAATAATGTCGAGTAATGGTGGACATTTACTTGAATAATGACTACTTCATAATGATCAAAGATCCTACATTGGGAAATAAAAACATATGATCCTATATTGGGAAAGTCATTATGTTTTAATCCTATTTAAGTAAATTTCTCTTATTATTATTATTGTTATTATTATTACTCCGTATTATTATGAAATGTGGTGATGTGCACTTGATTTTCACTTTTTACAATTCTTATTATTTTTAATAATTACAGAGTATTAGGTTTTTATTGCAGTTGGGCGATCTATACATAATGCCAACTGCCCATTTTTTATGCAGCCGAATTAGCCCAACGTAGTGTATGAATTAATGGCCTCACTCATTAATTAAAATGGCCCATCATTTGACCTAAAACATT